TTGTGACAGAGATTATTGATTCTACCTATTCTTCACATCTTTATTTTAAATATCCTCTTTTTCCCTATTCCAGGATTATGGAATCATACACCATGCTCTTCCTGTAAACACCCCAGCAGAACCATGCCATCCTGGTTTTAAAACACCTGCAACAAAGGGCAGAGTACTTTTCTATTAGTAAGTAGTGAGGTGACATAAGGCAGCTAACCTGTCAACTATAAATGAATGTGGGTTTAAAGGAATGAAATAGGATCATTTTTGTCTGTAAGTACACTCTCACTGAAAATGCTACTGCTTTTATTGATGCAACAAAGAAACTTATAGGTTGAGTGACTTGGGTGGAGGGAGAGTATCAGGGCTCTGTATGTGGCATCATAGTCTACTGAATTATGGAATCATGGGTCATCTAATGCAAACTGATTGAACGACAAAATTTTTAGGCTCATGTGTATGTCTTTCAATGAGCTGATGAGAATACAACAGCCAATTGTTAGACCATTTTCCTAAAGTTAGCCAATAGGTCTCCACTAAACTCGGCCTTAAGCATTAAAATCTTTTGTTAGATTATGCAAATTTTTCTTTAAATCTATGACACATGGAATTATAAACACTTATATACACAGGTAGGTCTTGACTGCTGGTGACTTCTACTTTGTGACCACCCGCTCTGTCCACAGCTGGGTAGGGAGGCAGAGAATGGAGTGGGCTTATTGGCCATTGCGCTCTATCTAGCCAATGACAGCAGCCCTGTGGTGGTAGCCAGTATGGACCCGGAGCCAGTGAGCCCTGTTGAAGGAGGAGAAGCAGCTGCAACCTCAGGATTTGAGGCCACAGAGGTGTCGGGGACTCAGAGCAGCAGATGTGTAACAGAAGAGGCTTTGAAAATGTAGAACTGGGAGTCACTGGTAAAAAGAAGAAAGCCCCATGGAAAGTCATCTGCTTTGTCGGTGGGGAAACAGTGGAAGAATACAGCACTGACGAAAGTGAAATCGATGCAAGACACTGCACCAGCCCTACCTGGCTCCACAGTTCAGCAGATGTCAAGGACCAAGAAAATAAACACATTCACATCATTTTTAAGCCATTGTAGCATTGGCAGATTTAGGTAAAAATTATCAATGGATGTGAGATATTGTGATTTCTTTTTAAATTGTTTTCCTTTATTGTTTTTAGAGAGAGAAGGAGAGGAAGATAGAAACATTGATGAGAAAGAACATTAATTGGATGCCTCCTGCATGCCTCCCACTAGGGTTCAGGCCCACAACCTGGGCATGTGCCTTGACTGGAATCGAACTGGCGACCTCTTGGTATATGGGTCTATGCTCAATCACTGACCTGCACCAGCCGGGTTTGTCATTTCTTTTTAAAGAAAAAATATGTTAATTGATGACCTAGAAAAAATGTTTTGCCTTTGTTGATCCAACAAAACTTACCTGGGGGCCCTACTTATGCTTTTACAAACATAGTGCTGCCACATCAACGCTCTCAGTGTATGACTTTGTTGGAAAGAAAATTGTATCTATTTTGGGTGTCAGTACCCCCAGGTACCAATATGCCATTGATGAGTATTACTGGACGAAGAAGAAAAGGAAGAATAAAACAGGGTATTTGAAGACCCACAAAGACCACACCAACAGAGTAAGCTGCAGGTGGATTCCGTTCAGACAGATCAACCAGAAACAGTGGTATCCAGTTCACTTGTGCATCCTAATTTTGAAATAGAGGGAGATGTGAAGTAATGACAGAAAGCAAACAAAATTCAGTCTCTGTCCCACCAGGGAATGCAATGACTCTCAAACTGCAAATTCTAGGCTGGTCTTCCTACCAGGAACTTTCATATTCTCTGTTCAGTGCAACTTAATACAGATATTTATCTGTTAAATCGTTATGTGGAAAGGGGAAATTTTTCCTTTATTCTTAGATGCTATCTAGCAAAAGTCAGATCTGAAATGTGGCTATCTCTACTATGTTTTTACTGTGTGTCAAATTAGTGCTTTGGTTTTTAAATGATCTTTGTAAAAAAGTTAAGGACATTTTAGAACCCTAACTGCCAATTAGCAAGAGTTAAATTATGAAGCTTGTCTACTATTTGTGTTTGTACAAAAAAAAAAAAAAATGCTGATTAAGTCTAATTGGAGCTGATATTACTAATCACAGATGAAAAAGAGGATTTTTTCCCTAGATTGTTTATATGTCTTACATTTATATATCTAACCATTGATTTTGTACTAAAGATGGTTCACTGAGTATGTAATGAAAGGAGCAAGATGAAAGCACTTTGAATTTTTTTCCTTTAAGAATAACTTTATTTTATGGGAAGGTAATTGAGTTTATAACACCAAATATTAACATGGGCTTCCCTTTTGATAATGCAGGTTACTTAATCTCGTATTCTTTTTTCAGTAGTTACTCAAATTAAATAACTAACTTTGAACATAATGTTAAAAATATTAGTTATGGAGTGAATTTATCAGTGTATTTATTTTCAAGTGGTAATGCCCAGTGATCACCCACATGGCACCCTAGTTATATCACTCATTCAGCCCTGAGTATCTCCTATGGGCCAAGTAGTTGCAGGGAAGAGGGTGGGATTGGGGGACAGATGAATGCTTAAGCCTTCAGAGGCTCACTGTTAAATATTTCACAAGGTGTAGAGGTAGCAAAATGAAAATACTTGTCATTTACCAATTCAAAGTAGTAACAGTAAAGTGGACAGTTTCCCTGAACAAGGTTGGCCATCTTTCTACCCACTGTGTTACTAGCCAAACTTACAAAAGTATAGTATGAAACTAATCTTGAAAATATTTCTAAATTTGTGTTCAGAACCTTATGAGCTATCTGTATGACTCTGATTTATAACTACATGTGGGTAATAAAGAATATGAGGCATATTTCAGAGAATGCTGCTCTTAAAGTACTATTCACACACTTAAAGACCTTTGTGGAAATGAATGGTTGTTAATAGTCAGGTAAACAGCATTAAGCCTTCAATCTATATAAAATACAGAGCAACTTACAACATGGGTACAGTGGGCCTGTTATGGAAGTCTGTTATCAATTAACGTGAACATCTAGCCACTAAATTCAGTTTTTTAACTGAAATTTGAAGGATTTATAAAAGATAATTTTTCATTAGGAATCTTTGGTTACATGGATTCATGGTGTGGTGGTTCATGGCTTGTGATAGTAATCTTTTTAGTCTTGGATGTAAACGTTACATAATTTAGTTCTTAAGGAAATAATTAGCAGATTATGTAATTAATGTCACCATAAATTAGTTTATCCTTAGCTCATCAGATTATGTAATCAATGTCACCAGTAGTTACAGTTTACCAAGAGCTCTAAAACATGCTAGCCTGACATCTCTCCTCTAATTTCTTTTTAACTTCCTTTGAGATAGTACTTTCAATTCAGATATTTGGTTATCAGTGAAGGCATGCAAGTCTATAGATGAACTGAATCTTAACTCCCTAGAAATACTATATCTAAAAGAAAACTAAAAACTTTTCTGATTATAGTAGAAGAAAGATAAAAACTTATGAAGCTTTTACATTTCTTGAATTTTCCTTTCTTTACTTGTCCAACAGTGGCCAGTTAGTAATATTTATATATTTAAACACTGTACCTTGACTTTTTATATTTATGAAAATTATAAAATTTCCCATAAGTGCAAAAAAATAAATAAATACAGGTCTTATAAACACTTCTAAAATTAGCAGTTTAACCAAACAACATACATATGCAAAATCTTATGAGCTCGAAAAACTACCACACATTGTAAAGGATAATAATGAAAGTATTAATAATTTCCACTTATTGAGAATTCTGTGCCAGGCATTGTATTGGGTGTTTTATGTATATTATGCCTTTCTTATGCCTGTGACGTAACTGTCAAAGCAAACCTATGATAAGATAATCCACATTTTACAGAAGAGAAAACTAAATCTTCGAGAGGGTTTCCCAATGCTGATGTTTTTAAAAACTATGTTCTTAACCAATAAGCTATTGAAAGTTGTTAACTAGGAAGTAAATGTCACAGAAAGCTAAGCCACAGGGGTTCAGCTACAAGGCAGGATCCTGGTTACCTTTGAAGTGATTAACTTTGAGTGGGTATTATAAAAATGCTAAGCCAAAAAGACATCATCCAACTTTTAGTGTGCCTAAAAATAAGAGAAGGATCGTTAGGGAAGAAGGGAATTCTTTACTCAAATTAAAAGCTACATGGGAACTAAATAATATCAAAAAGCAATGTCAGGCAACTGGCAATGAAATTTGAAGCTATGGATGTAGAAAAGTCTGTTTCAGAAGTTTGTTGACTTAGATTTTCTTGCGCAACCAGAATCTGCTAAAACAGAAATAGGGGGAATATATGTGGTGCGCTAACCTTTCCTTCACCTTCTTCTTCCAGGTAAAGCAGATACTTCATCCTGCTCTGAGAACCAACATTCGGTAAGCGACAAGTCATTTCTTTTACTGTGAACACTCTATTTGTCAATCATTTTTATTTTGCCAATGGAACAATGATATATTTAATTCATCCTTGATTTCCAGAACTTTATGGTTACATTTTTATTGAGAAAATGATCTCAAGTACATTTTACTCTTTCACTCACTATATCAAATGGAAACTTAAATGAATTCTTTACATTTCATTCTAAAACAGATACTATAAATAATTCTTTATTTTTTACTTTGAAGCAAATGAACTAGAACTATCTTTAATAGAAAAGTGTGAAAGTATGACAATGTTTATATATTACGTATACTTCCAGGGCATCAGTCAGGTTCCTCAGTTTATGTTCCACTGTTCCTATCAGAGAGAGTTGTGGTTCCACTGTGATTCTACTGACACCATGTGACAACCTTCTCTTGTTATGAATTTGGGAGTCACAGTAGCTATGATGTAACCATGATCGTTCCATTGTTTTTTTTTTTTTTCCTCTTAATCCATGTGCTAAATGTTTCAATGCAGACCTTTGTTCTCTTTGACTTACTTCCCAGCAATGGCTTTACTCCCAGTGGTGGTGTTTCTGGCTGCTCTCCTGCTTCCATCTTTACCCGCAGAAGGAAAGGTAACGTAGAGTGGAAAATCTTTCCAGAGCTATCCGGGCAACTTGGAGGGATGGCAAGGCACTTGGAGAGTGGAAAGGGCAAGTGTGTCTGGTTCATCACAAAGTACCCACCTGTTGCTCAGAGCACTTAGCACAATTTTCTAGATGAAAGTCTACGGCTGCGCTGTCCGATACAGTAGTGACTAGTCCCATGTGGCTGTTGAACGCTTGAAATGTGGCTGGTCCAAAATAAGATGTACTTTAAGTGTAAAATACATTCAAGATTTGAAAGATTGAATGCATACAAATAAAAAAAGAGGAAACATTGCATTAATAGTTTATATGTTGAATATATGATGAAATAGTATTTTAGATTATTATAAATTTAGGTCATTACATTGCATAAACTATGTGGAACAATTCATACACCCTACTGTACCATTAGACTTAGACGCCAACACTCCCACACACAAAGATAACCCAAAAATTATCGACACCTGATTTAATACCTTAATTACATTTCTGTTAATGAAGGGAAAAAAATCAGAAATAGTCCATTAATTGCATGGCTTTGCTTCCTCCAAATTGCCTTGGAGATTGGTTTAATATCTCAAAATTGTCTTTTGAGTGATTTCATATAATCTATCCACATTTGGTAGAACAAATTTTTTAGAAATTTTAATGCACTTCAACTGAGCCTAAACATTCTTTCCCTAATATATTCTAAATACCTTCTGCCTCTAAATAGAGACACCATGTCTGTTCAAAGTTCCCTCAAAGTCTAGGATGAACCTTCAACTCCAACCTTATTCCTCCTGCTGCAGCCTGATCAATTGTAAATTAATGTCTTAAGGTTCCTATTGTGTACCTTTGGGGTTATAAAATATTATCACTCATATGCTGTATTAGGAGTTCCTTTGAAGCTAGAAATGGTCATATATGGCCTAAAGGATTATTTTTTAAATTGTTATGCCATGAATTACATTTTCATTCTCAAAGTTTCAAGTTACTTCTTTCCTGTTTGTCACAGCTTTGGCTGAGATTCATGGCAATACTTGACAACTAATAGTGGCTTGAACTCAACACTTTTTAAAGTGATCCTTGCTGTCTGGCCAGTGTGGTTCAGTGGTTAAGCATCGACCCAAGCACCAAGAGGTCACTGGTTCTATTCTTGGTCAGAAAACATGCCCAGGTTGTGGGCCCAATCCCTAGTGGGGAACATGCAGGAGGCAGCCAATCGATGTTCTCTCTCATCGATGTCTCTCTCTCTCTTCCTCGCACTTCCTTTCTCTCTAAAATCAATAAAGAAAAAACATTTTTTAAATAAAAATTTAGAACAATAAAGTGATCTTTGAATAGCTCATTTCCTCTTATACTTTAAAAATATTTCCAAAATTGTTAAACAAAATCTCTAACTTTACTTCCCTTTAGGATCCAGCCTTTTCTTCTTTGTTAACCACTGACACGCAAATCCAAAAAGAGATTGTGAATAAACACAATGCCTTAAGGCAATCAGTCTCTCCACCTGCCAGCAACATGCTAAAGATGGTAAGAGGCAGTAATAGAAGGGAAGTGGTGGGAATGGGTGGTGGTGAGAGCAGGCAACCGGCACCTGTTAAGAACTTGGTGGCTTACAACATTCTGCCTCTGTTTTTCTGTTTCATTTGAGCTGTGTTGTAGGCAGGAAAGAAATTCTTACTTTTACTTTATAATGGTTAAATAACTTGTCAAGTTTGCAGGACTATAAAGCTGGGAAGGCAGATTTAGAAGCCAAATCTTCAGGCATGAAACATAAAGCTGTTACATTTGTTTCTTCACTCTTTCCTAGTCTAAAATAAATCTCCTTTCTTTCAGAATCAGTGCCATTTAGAATAAATAGCCCACTTTCCGGGGCATAGTCCCTGAACACTAAATATCTCCCATATGAAAACAGTGGGCTACATATGGATTTGAGAATAATCTAGGTCATCTTATTACTGTTAAAATACAATTATAATACTTCACATTTTGATCAGTATTTAGAATAGCACCATTACTCAAAATCTTGGATGTGGCTGCTGTATGGTTATAGTCAGATATTATTTTCTTAGACATTTCTCTTGTTAGAAATATCACCTATGGACTGTTTGTGGGAGATTAAAATTGCGGCAGATAAAGTCACACTGAACAAAAGATATTTAAAGGCCAAGGACCAATAGATAACACATCTGCAGAAGTTTTGAAGTAGTGCAAATTAATCTATCAATCAGATGATAATGCATATGCTTTGTTGGGGTTGAATTTTTAAGTGTATATTTTTTTCTTATGACACTTAGGAATGGAGCAGAGAAGCAACAGCAAATGCCCAAAAATGGGCAAACAAATGCACTTTACAACACAGTAATGCACAGGATCGAAAAACCAGTACGTAAATTAGCAGATCTTTGTTGAATAAACAAAGAAATAATGTAACAGTGGACAAATAAAATAGAATGGACCATTTTGGGATGTTGCATTAAGACTGTGAATAAATGTTACTTATGCTTGTCTTTTTGAAATCAAAGTTTCTGTACCTAAAGAGAGAGTTATGATAAGTACCATTTTGTGCTTATTGATTGTTTATACTAGGCGAATGGTTTCTCAGGGAGTATCCCATTTGTTCCTCAACCAGCTCGTGAGTAAACTAAGATGTGGAAGGAATGGCTAACCCAAGAACACAACCTGTCTTAGTCACGTATTTGGAAAGATAACCAGGCTTTCTGATTTCTAATCCATTATCTTTTTGTGATATCTTATAGCCACTTGGTGTTCTGAAATCTATTTATTTTGTATTCATAAAATATATTGACTTGTGTGGAAGTGTTCCTGATTATTTTCTTTAAAAATATTAAATCTCTTTTAATCAGGATGAATATTTGGGGTATATTGATTCACTTTTTAAATTTTTGAAAAAAACAGTCTAGTATTTTGTATGGACTGTGATCATAATGTAGAGAATGATATATTAGATTCAAAAACATAAGAGTCATACCAAGGATCTAAAACACTATGAAAGGAAAAACACCTGTATGCAAAAACTTGTATGTATGTATATACATACTATATACTTACTTACATTATCAAGCATGATCTATATATAGGCAAGCCCAGTTTGAAAGTAGTGACTTCTTTCCCAGGAATTTCAGAACTATTGTTGTATTGTTGGTGCTCACATTATAATGAAATTCTGATACTCCCTGAGAACATTGCATTCAGAAGATTGATACAAATTATCTTAAAGATCCAAATCTACTCTTAGATTTGTCATTTCTCTCCTTCCTTATTAAAGGAGTTATTGCATACTCTAAGAGAATATTTTATATTCTAAGCTGCATGTAGAGATTAAACTTCAAGCCACCAAAATGTAATTATTAAGCGAGGGCTAGAAACGATAAGAAAACATTTCTGGGCTACAAGGCACTTCTTTATTCTTTAAATTAATTTTATTGTTTTAGAACACAACATGAGAGCTACCCTTTGGAAAATTTTAAGTGCACGATACACAATTGTTGACTATAGGCACCATGCTGGGCAGCAGAACTTCATGCCCAATGATTAGCACATGCCCGTTTTCTCCTCTTACCAGCCCCAGCAATCACCGTTCCACTCGTTCATGCTGTGAACTTGAGTACTTTAGACGCTTTAAATAGTGGAGTGAGTCATTCTGTCCTTCTGTGACTGGCCTATTTCATTTTGCATAATGTCCTCAAAGTTCATCCATGTTGTCGCACGTTGCAGAATGTTCTTCTTTTTAGAGGATGAATAATATTCCATTATAGATAGATAGATAGATAGATAGATAGATAGATAGATAGATAGATAGAGTGTGTGTGTGTGTGTGAGCTATCATGAATGATGCTTCAATGAACATTGTAGTGCTGATATCTCTTTAAGATCTTAATTTCAATTCTTCTGGATACACACAAGTGGAATTGCTAGATCATTTGGTAGCTCTACTTTTAATATTTTGAAGAATTTCCATATTCTTTCCATAGCGGATACATTATTTTGCATTTTTAACCAATAGTGTATAAGAATTTCAACTTCTTCACATCCTCACCATCCCTTGTTCTTTTTCTTTCTTTCTTTTTTTTTTATAGGTGTAAGGTAATGTCTCATTATGATTTTGATTTGTATTTTGCTGATGATTAGTGGTACTGAGCACATTTTCATATACCTATTTGGCCATTTTTACGTTGTCTTTGAAGAAAGGTCTCTTCTAGTCCATCATGGTCAGAAACAATTCTTAGTTTCTCAGGCAGCCCCCAGAAATGACAGATCTTTAAGCATTTCATTCAATTATTTTCTTTCCCCAAGAGAGACTAGTAGCTAAGGTTTCGGTCTGCTCACTTTGTGCTAGACCAAAGAGAAATTATGGCAACTACCAGCCAAAATCCCAGTCTCTGTTTTCACTAACCCCAGGCAGGAAGGTTATGCTATATCTTGTGAGCATTCCCAAACAGGCAAGTCAGAAGCCAGTCCTTTGGTCAGCCTCTGGAAATTTGAAGCATTGGATGCCCAGACCAACTTCTTTCCTCCCCAGCGAGAAGCAGGCAGCTGTGGTTTTCATCTGCTTGCTCGATGCTGAACTGGGAAGAGGATCTATGGTATCTATCAAACCAAATGGCCTTCTCTCTTCCTCCCCAGAAGGCAAGACTGTGCCAAACCCATCAAAGCTCCAAGACTGGCAAGACAGATGCCAGTTTATTGGATAGCCCTGGCAAAGTTGGAACCTTAAATGTGCTGATCACTTTGCCTCCAAAGCTGAGAGCTAAGATTCTTCACTGTGCTGAGCCAAGGGGACAGAGTTATGGTGTCCAAGCCACCCTATCCATTGTCCTTCAGGAGGCTAACCTTTGCCTGACACTCAGAGCTCTAAGACCAGAAAAACAGAAACCAGCCCTCTGGAGATTTCCTTTGGAAAAGTTGGAATGCTGGACATGTAAACCAGTTCACTCCCTTTCCTGGGAGAAGTTGGGAGGTGGGAGGGTCCCTTTCTGATCATATGATACTGTGCTGAGATTAAGGCTTCTTGCAAGTATTCTCATCTCCTTACAGGCTTCAGTGAGTCTTCTTGCATGGTCTTCCAGGTATAAAAGCCTTTCCATTAGCTTTTGGATTTCTCACAAGGGCAATTTGTTCACAAACTGTTTTGGGTCTGTGAGTTGGGGACGGCAAAGTCCAGGCTTCCTACTCCACCATCTTGCTGATGTCACCCTCTTCAAGGACCTTCTTGCCTTACTCTCTGTGGAGGACTTGACCTTGAAACATTCTGACTTACTGAGTAAGGGAAGATCCAGTTTGGAAATCTGCCATTTCTCCTGCTGTCAGTTGCTCCTTCTCTGGGACTCTTAAAGACTGCATATAAAGCTTTTTTTCCCCCAAAGTTCATAATAAATCATAATAAATTCAAGGTCCTGTATGTAAAAAATCTCTGGTGAGGATGGGCAAGAGAAAGAATAAAATTTGGTCACTGCTTTTTGCAAGCTTACAATACAACACTGAGGGCACAAGAGGCATTGCACACTTGAAGAATTTAGCCTGAAAAAGAATACCTCTTTGATGATCCAGAGGGAAGAAAGTTTTAAAAGAATTAAGGTCTTCTCCACCTATTCAGTTTTATATATTAAGGCCATTATATTTCATTATATATGAATGTGCTAGGGAAGTCTGTCTACAATACAGCTTTTTTAGCTGATAAGGAATAGAACCACCTTTTAAATGTATTAACAGTTAGCAAGTATAGGCACCATGAGAGGCAGTATCCTGGTGTCCATATAGTTGATTTCTATTACTGCTGCAGTTTTATTGCTTTCCTCATGTTCTGTTCCTTCATAGGTACAAAATGTGGTGAGAATCTCTTTATGTCAAGTGACCCAACCGCCTGGTCAAATGCCATCCAAAGTTGGTATGATGAGAGCCAAAACTTTGTCTATGGTGTAGGACCAAAGAGATCCGATGCAGTAGTTGGACATTATACCCAGGTAAAGGAAACACATGAAAACACTTCTGCCACAAAGATTCTAATATATAATGCTTCTTCAAATTATGACCAACTTCAGTGTAAAATTTTGGAGAAAGAGACCTGAATGGGTACAATATAGTCCCAGCATTGGACTGGTATTCCACCTACAGCTGTTATTTTAATTGCATGGCCTGTAACACTGTCGGTTAGGAAATACACTCTGTATTTTTCCAACATTATAAATAAAGAAACTAGTGAATGTACATAAAACTGTAATATTCTAAATGTATGTGATTTTGTTTCAATAATTTAATGATTTATATAAAATACGTGGTTACAAACAATAGCAGTAACATGTTTTTTTTTTTTCTTCAAGTTTTGATTTGTTCTTTAATATTTTTTCTTTCTTACTGTATTCTTCACATGTTGCCTTATGGATGTTTAGGTTGTTTGGTACTCATCTTACCTTGTTGGATGTGGAGTTGCTTATTGTCCCAATCAAGATAGTCTGAAATACTACTATGTTTGCCAATATTGTCCTACGTGAGTATTTACTTTAGAGTTTAATGTCAGTAATTCCAACTGCAATTTAATATTTTACAATTCTCATATATTAACACATCAGAATAAAAATATATGTGTCAGTAAGGGAAAGGAATACATCTTTGAAATGCTTTTTCAGGTGAGATACACTCAACTTCTCAGAGATGAGACAAAGTTCTGAGATCCAAGGATAAAATCTGAATCTCTCTATTCTCAGTTATAAGATGTCGTCTTTTCTCTGAATTGCCTTACCTTGGGGTTCAGAGGTATTCCGTGAACATGAGAAATGTGCATTTCTCTAGATTTTGTATTGTCAATTCTCACTAATTTTCTTCTCTAAGCAGGTGGAAGATGAAGGAAAGAGTGGATGCGCAGGGCAAATTGGGATCAAAAATTGTGATTTCTGCTAAAATGTTTCCTGTGTATCTAAAAAACCATTGACATTGTTCCATTAAAAATGATTTATTTGTTCTTTTGCTTTTCAGCAGTTTTTGAAGAGATCTTTAATATATTTCAGAGTCCAGAAGAAGTTAACATTTTAAGTCTTTGTTTCTCAGCAGTTTTCACACACACACACACACACACACACACACACACACACACACATAACACCACAATTCTACAATGAACCATCCCATACTGTCTTGATTTATAGCAGAAAACATGTTATTTCATCAAGTAATATGTTTGAAGTCATACACAAATCCTATGGGTATATTGAAGATCTAATCTCAACATATCCATTAGCCCTAATTTATTTTAATGTTTGAAATTCCTTATGACAAGGAGACCCCAAAACCAAATCTCCCACAGGATTAATTTTGAGGTTATAGATAACTGCATCTGTGGATCTCCCGTTTGAGGAATGTGACCTCCGTAGTCATTTCCCCACAAGCATCTATTAAGGTTTCATAGAAAGAAGTGAAAAGTTCTAGGAGAATGGGTTCAGACTCACTGCCGGATAGGGGTGGGGGATCATCTGGAGCCAGGCATCTGAAGTGAGGGGTAGAGTGAAGAACGAGGGAAAGCAGAGATATGAGAACTCCCAGAGCACTTTTATGTCTATTTTACAATTTTTCCAAGGGTTGACACACACACTATTCTGTGCAAGGAGACTGAGATTTAAATGCATTGCCATGGGCCCTTGGCCTGCTTGACTCCCATGCATTTTCAAATGAATGAAATTACCAATAGGATAGTGATCATCAGAAGGTTACAGCTTAGTCCCTGTAAAGTGATTACACCCTGGATATTGAGGTTTATCAAAACATTTTAAAACTAACGTTCCTTTGTTTTAACTTCATTTTTATTATTAATGCTATTTCAGATGTCTCCATTTGCACCCCCTTTGCTCACCTCCACCCAACCCCTGTCCCCCTTCCCTCTGGCCATCTCCACACTGTTCTCTGTGTCTATGGAGATATGCATATATTTTCTTTGTCTAACCCTTTCATTTTTTTTCATCTAGCACCCCCACCTCCCATACCACTCCCACAGCTATAAGTCTGTTCCAATGTATCCTTGCCTCTGTTTCTATTTTGTACTTTGTACTTCAGTTTATTCCTTTCCTGGTGAACATAAAAATCTCTCACACACAGCCTCTGGAAACTGACAACCTTTCCTCAACTCTCCATATCCCCCACAAACACATGCACCACTAACTACATAAATATCATCATTCCTTTCTATATGAGCTAAATGTATATATATATATATATATATATATATATATATATATATACACACACACACACACACACACACACACACACATACACACACATGTTTCCTGCTATAAATCAAGACAGTATGGGATGGTTCATTGTAGAATTGTGGTGGTGTGTGTGTGTGTGTGTGTGTGTGTGTGTGTGAAAACTGCTGAGAAACAAAGACTTAAAATGTTAACTTCTTCTGGACTCTGAAATATATATATTAAAGCTATACTGTCCTAGTACATATCAGAGAAATGATGGTATTTTATCATTTTTCAAATACAAGTAATATTGCCACATTGAGAATTCTTTTTAATACTGCAACCCCATAGCCCCCGAGTTTCTTCTGTCTGTCTAGGAGATACATCCTACCCTGAGCCAGCCTGTTGTGGTGCAACTGCCTTACTAATTTGACCAAGTTTCCTGGGAGATGAAAAAGTATGAAAGACACCCTAAAAATTTTAGACTGTAGTTATTCCAATTTAGTTGTTCAACCTGAAGAATTATAGTCAAGACTTGGGTCAATTTCTCAGGTATTTTCTTAATTTGGACATTATCTGAACACATTGGGAACTGTAAATTTTCACTTTTGTTAACATATCTAAATATATTTGATAACTGTATATTTGGTGACTGATGCTACCTTTGGAGTATAAACTAAATGACAAAGTGAAAAATATTTGACATCATGTATTTTATATTTCAGTGGTAATAATGTGAGTAAAAAGAATACCCCTTACCAACAAGGAACACCTTGTGCCAGTTGCCCTGGTAACTGTGAAAATGGACTATGCAGTAAGTTTGAAGTGATTAACCCGTTGTTATAACAAAAAGTTGATATTTTCTTTTCTTTTTATGCATTAAGATATCTCTTCAAGTTACCAATTAAATAATATTTTGATGCAAAAGACAGAAAGATTCCTCAACAGGATGTGTTTAAGTAAACATTTTATACACTTTTATAACTTACTAATTTTTTGTAATGAAAAGAATATTGCCATATCAAACATAATAAAACATCTACCACCAATAGCTTTTGTGACTGTAGAGAGCTCATTAATATTAACTGTACATGTTTCTGGTAACTAGTTCATTGCATCAAAATATCATTACACAAAAGCTGGTAATTTGAAAGAATGAAAATATATAAATCTACAGATATGAGATGATATTATGGCTCAGTCTAAACAAGCAAACCAAATATTAAGTTTCTTTTGTGCTAATGTGTTCATCATGCTGATTACCGCATTTTTATAGTATAATTGGAATCATAGTGTTTGACTTAATAAATGATCCATTAATCCTATAATTTGATAGTAGTGTTGTATACTTTTTAATGACAAAATCCAATCTATATACAAAACTGACTCATAGAACCCACAAACATGCTGTTAAAAAAGGAGAAAATAAAGTAAATGTCATACGTATTATTTCTAAAGTTGTCATACATATAGGTAAAAATAGCTGTTGGCCTTTTATAGTTGGGAACCTTTTATTAAAATTATGAATAATAGAGTTGACCCATTCACTGAGATTTTGATCTTTCAAATGCTTTCACCTTTAGTTGGCATTCTTTTTGACTGAATTATGAAGCTATAATTCAGAATATGGATGAAATCAAACTATAAATCAACAAAGGAAGAAAAAAGTTGAATATTTATACCTCTGCTGAATGCTGTTTGCTGAGGAGCTTGGAATTATCTAATTAGCAAGACGTACTCAACAAAAAGATTTTAAATAAGAGTGACAAGTTCAGAATCATGTTGTACAAAAACCTTTCTAGTAATAGCATGTAGAAACAATTGAATGGAAGCTAGAAAACTTTTGCAAAACATGAGTTGAAAAACAAATGGATGTCTTGACTGCACTCCCAGCAAAATGCATGAAGAGAAAGGGACAGGGTTGAGGGACTAGAGGTTGAAAGCTCATGTTTATGAGTCTGTTTCTGTGCTGGTTGAACTTGGTCAGAAGCAGAAAAGGATTTCAGATCGATTTAGTTCCTGGCCTAACATCCTGAGTGGTCAGAAAACCAATTTACTGTGACTGTAGGAGGGATGCAGGAAGACAAAATCCAAGAATTGTCAGCCTTCTGGATAGAATGATGAGTTTAGTTTGAAATTTGTTGAGTTTGGGGCCCCTGGGGAGCATCCAAGAAGAAATATCAGAAGGAAAGGGAGCACATTATCCCTGTTTTACATCTTAATCTTCCCACAAAAATCACTTTCCTCATAAAGAAAGACATTGGAGCCTAAAGCAGTACTGTCCAACAGTATACAACGATAAAAATGTTCCCTATCAACAAGCGTCTTAGAGTTCTCTAGTCCCGTGTGGCCTCTGAACATGTGAAATATGGCTAGTAAGATTAAGAAAACAAATGTTTTCTTTTATCTGATCTAGGATAATTTAAATAACTACATGTTACTAGTGGTTCCAATATTAGACGCTGTAGATGTACAGTGATTTATTTATATTCATTTTACTCTCTTTGCTAAGGGGGGAAAGTAGGTCAATTCATTTTAGAAACATGTCACCAAGTTCAAAATTTTAAAAATGATAGATTACACAGTGAGCTCAACTGAGGCACCTTATATGTCCCTCAAGAAATGGAAAGCCCATCGTAGTGTAAGAAACACTGACTTGTTTGTTCAATCCTACACCCCACCCTACCCGCCCCACGAATTTTCTGTTGATTTTGAGAGAGAGGGAGAGAAACAATGATTTGTTGTTTCCCTTATTTATGCATTGGTTGATTCTTGTATGTGCCCTGACTGGGGATCAAACCTGCAACCTTGGTATTAGGATGATGCTCTAACCAAATGAACTGCCCAGCCAGAACCCTCCACACCTATGCATTTTGAATGTATAAATTGCTTTGCAGCTATTAATGAAAATGATAATAATGTAACTAATCTGTTTTTGTTACAGCCAATAGTTGTGAGTATGAAGATCTCCTTAGTAACTGTAATTCCTTGAAGTCAACAGCTGGCTGTGAACATGAACTGCTCAAGGAAAAGTGCAAGGCTACCTGCCTGTGTGAAAACAAAATTTACTGAAATACTCAACATGCATTGAGCAAGACGAAGTGAGGAAGAGCTGCATTATTTGGTTGACACACCCTAGAGGGACAATTGTAAGCATGTTAGTCACACATTTTAGTCCAAACAGTAATGCATCTTTTTTTCTTGGATCTTCACAGAAATCTCTTTCATACATCAATTTACAAAAGCAGCATAGTCTATGATGACAACTTTGGACTGGGAGATACATTTGGTGCTTTAAAGTTAATGAATTAAATCAAGCTGAGGATTTTAAAAGTTATATAACCACAGAACTCAGGTCACGAATTTGGGATTAAAATGAAGAATCACATGTTTCTTGAAACAACTTGGGGAAAAAAAAAACAACAACTGTAACATTATTGTCCTTCCTACTACATGAATTTTCACATGTATAAAGAATAAATTCAAAGATTAGCATCTACTTTTGTCTTATGGTCTCCTTTTTAAACAAAAGTAATCAGCTTTTAGAATAAAGAACCTGTCTAAGCACCCACATGGATGTGATTCTTGTACAATATTTTATAGAATTTATAACTACTCCAGCTAGACTCAGCCCAGATAAATGATTATACAGAACAAAATTTCCAAAATGTTTGCCTATAAAAGTAAATTTTAACAACAAAAATAATCAATCTATTCTTATTTGTTTTTTATTTTATTTGCTTTTTGACATTTTGATAATCCTCCCTATTGGTTTAGTTGATATATAAAAAAATAAAGAGGCTATTTTCTGACAATATATACAAATATATCCTCTATCTTCCCCAAAAACAATAGTAGTAAATCTTTTAAAGAGATTTACCATGATTAGTCTTTGCCAAATTGTAATTTAAGATTGGTAAAACAACAAAGTAAAGTAGACCCACTTCATGAATGAGAAAATATACAGTGATACCTCGGTTCTCGAACGCCTTGACTTTTGACCAAATCGGTATTCGACCAGGAGATTCGAGAAACTTTTGTCTTGGAATCCGAACAAATATTTGGAACTCGAACTTCCGAGATGAGCCGAGTTGAGCCGAATGGCGTTCATTCGGCCCAGCGCGCCTTGCTTGCGTCATCAGTGTGAGTGCAGAGAGAGAGTCACGCTTTGTGGAGAGAGTCACGCTTTGTGGAGAGAGTCACGCTTTACACTGAATTTAACCCTTAGACATACTGTACACTTTTATTTCTTGTTGAGACTTATGTTTTTCTACATATTATATACAAATTAGGCCAGTAAATAGGCATTTTCTGGGGCTTGGAACGAATTAATCCAGTTTCCATTATTTCCTATTGGGTTTCATTGCTTCAGTTCTCGAACAATTTGGTTCTCGACCGTCCTCCTGGAACGAATTATGTTCGAGAACCGAGGTATCACTGTACTTTGAAAATCTAAAAAAAAGTAAAATAAGTGTTGCTATTAGTCAGAAAATAGATCTTGCCAGACATGGTATACTAGAATGAGCCTCCAAAATGAAATAGACTATCTAAATTATCTCATTCTCATTAAAGAAATTTAATTCATAATTCTAATGTTTCTATCAAGGAAATTTCCAGGCCCAGGTGGTTTCATTGCAGAGTTACACCAAACATTTAAAGAAAAATTTATACAAATTATACACAATATTTTTCCAAAAATTGAACAAGAGGGACTACTCTCAATTCATTCTTTGAGACTCGTATTATCCTATTGCTAAATCCAAAGACATTAAAGAGGATTAAAAAAAGCTATAGATTTATAGCTGTCATGAGCATGGATATAAAAATTCCAAGCAAAAATTAAGTAAATTAATCCTGGATTATAAAATAAGGATAATATACCCTAATCACATGGGATTTACTCTATAGGTGCAGAGTTCAGCTAACATTCGAGTCAAACTTGTGTGCCACCATATGAACAGACTAAAGAAGAAAACCATGGGTTCAATAGATGAAAAACAAGTATTTGAGAAAATCTGATATCGAATCTTAATAAAACTCTCAGCGAACAAAGAATGGAAGGAAAATTTTTTAACCTGATAAAGGAAAACTATAAACAAAATATATTTTTTCTATAAACAAATATACCACATTTAATGGTAAAAGACTAAAAGTTTTTCCTCAAAAATTAAAAAGTCAAAGACATACACTATCATTTGTATTAAACATTGTACTAGTTCTGGCAAGTGAATTAGATAAAATAAACAGAAAGCATCTAATTAGAAAGGAAATAATAAAGTCATTCTTATGCACAGAAGAAACAATAGACATAGTTATTAACCTGAAAATGGACACACATATATTAACAGCTGATTTTGACAGTAGTGGGGAGACCACTCAATGGAGAAAGAATAGTTTTGTCAACAAATGATACTGAGAAAATTGATATTCTATGTTTAAAAATAAACTTTTCCCCAGACTTTCCACCAAAAAAGGTAACCTCAAATCATCAACCTAAAATAAAAAATTCAAAAACATGTACAAGAAATCATAAGAGAAAAAATTTTTGAGTTCTGGTTAAGTCAAGATTTCTTATATACAATGTCAAAACTATATAAAAGAGCCCTGGCCAATGTGACTCAGTTGGCTGAGTGTTGTCTGGTGCACAGAAAGGTCACCAGTTTGATTCCTGGTCAGGGCACATACCCAGGTTTGGGTTCCATCCCTAGTTGTGGTACATGCTGGAAGCAACCAATGGATGTTTTTCTCTCACATCGATATTTCTCTCTCTCTCTCTCTGTCTCTCTCTGTCTCTCTGTCTCTCTCTGTCTCTCTGTCTCTCTCTCTCTCATTCTCTCTCCCTCTCTCTCTCGATCTCCCTCTCTCTATCTCCATTTCTCTATCTCTAAAATCATTTTAAAATATTTTTAAAAACCTGATAAGTTAGACTTTATCAAAATTAAAAAGTTCTGTTCTTTAAAAACACCATTAGGAGAATAAAGGGGCAAGTCACAAACTGTGAGGAATCATTTACAAAGCATCAATCTAAAAAAAGAGTTGTATTGTGAATATATGATTATGTTTTTTGGGTTAACCCTCACCTGAGGATATTTTTTATTGACTTTTTTAGATAGGCTGGAAGGAAGAAAGGGAAAGAAAGAGAGAGAGAGAGAGAGAAACATCAATATGAGAGAGACACATCTATTGGCTGCCTCCCATACAACTTGGATGCAACCCAAGTATATGATAATTTCTAAAACTCAATAATTATTTTTAAAAAGCAACCCAATATCCCAACGTGGATACCCTCAGAGGTCACTCTTTCTAGGCTCTGTAGGTGGCGTAGGGGAACATAAGGCTCTGCCCAATGATGTACAGTCTCTTCCCACATCGTTGGAGGGAAAGTTGGGCCTTGAATCTGTGCCTACATATTTCTACAGCTACTCGGAGTCCTGTGGACAATGACTGAGAAGAAAAATCATGCAAGAAACATCTAGAAAAAAGAAAACAAAAAAGCAACCCAATAAAATGAATAAAAAACATGGACACTTTGTCAAAGAATATGTACAGGTCGCAAATAAAAATATGAAAAGATGTTCAACATGATTAGCCAGTATTGAAATGCAAATTAAAACCACTATAAAAAAAAAACAAAAAAAAACACTAGACAAGTGTTAGAATGACTAACATAAAAAAAGGCTGACTATGCAAAGTGTTGGTGAAATTGTGGAAGAACTGGATCTATCATACACTCTATTTGGAAATATGTGCTTTAGAAAACACATCTGCAGTGTTATTGAGTTATATATCTATTACATGATCTAGCCTTTTCATTTCTATATACCCAAGGGGAAACATAAGTCCATTCAAAGACGTGTGTGTAAATGAGCATGCATAACAGGTTTATTAGTAATAGTCAAAACCTAGAAACAATTTAAGTGTTCATTTACTTGTGACTGTATAAGCAAGTTATAACATATGCATATAATAAAATGTTACTTGTCAAATAAAAGGAATGAATTATTGATATACCTAACTGATGGATCTCAAAGTAATTAGGCTGAGTGAAAGAAGACAGAAGTGCATATACTGTGTGATTCCATTTATATAAAACTAAAAGCAAACTATAGCAACAGAAAGCTGATCTTCAGTTTCCTCATTTATAAAATGAGTATAATCATTACATGCATCACATGAGATTTTGTAAAATTTAATGATATAGGTAAACATTTAAAATAGTGATGTTTATTGGGTGATATCAGCAAAATGGTGGCTTAGCAATTTCTAGCACTCATCTACCATCCAAAAACATAATTTCGAACAACAATTTGCACCAAAAATACCTTCACAAGAGCCAAGGATTCCAGGTGAGAGATTACGGCATCTGGGTGAAGAGCAGAAATAAGAAACGACACATTGAGGAAGGCAGTAAGATAAATTGACACCACACACATTTCTGTCCCCCAATCCTGGGCAGCCTACCACAGACAAATACCCTTCTGTGGGAGAAACAGAGTGAAGTGAACACCTGACTTCACCACAAACCTCAGATCCAGGCCAACTCCTATGGCCCTAGGGGGTCCCCTGTTGAAAAAATGTATCCGTTCTATCAATAAATATGAATGAGCTTAAATAAATTACATTAAAAAAATTTAATTTGGCACAAAACAGAACCCAACTATATGCTTTATTCAAGAGTAATTCAAATGGACTAAAAGTAAGAGAATCAGCAAAGGTATTCCAGGGAAATAGAAAAAATAAGAAAGCATGGACTATGACCCTGATATTAAAGTAAGAAGAATTGAAGCTAAATTACATGAAATATAAAAAAGAGCTCTATGTAATGCCAAAAGTTGCATTTCACCATCTGGAAGTTATAAACACCTGTGAACCAGATAACAGTGAGGACATCTTATGACAACTATAGGAGATGCAAGGAGACAGAAACAGGCTAACAATGGGAAGCTAATAACTTCAACTCAAGAAAAAGTGGATAGAAACTCAATATAGAACACAAAAGATTCACTAAGATAGTGATAACACTCTTCTCAAGTACATAACACAATTTTAACACAGTTTTATAAAATAGAAATATAAAAGTACTTTATTATCAAGTAATGAAACTATAAATTGTAAACAAAATTAAAACTGAAAAAGGCCTTTCTACCTAGAACTTTAAAAACCTTATATTAAACAAGTATTGGGTGATAGGGACGATACAAATACAAATTACAGGATTTCTATAAAGATAATAATAAAAATACTATTTATCCGAATTTGTGGAACACATTCAATGTTAAAAAAGAATAATTGCCTTAAACATTTTTATCAAAAAGTTAAAATAAGTTAATTAAGTCCCCAATTCAAAAATCTGGAAAAAGAACAGTAGGAAGAAAATGATAGTCATAAACAGAAATTAATGAAATGGAGAATAAAAAATCAAAAGATATAATTAATCAAAATTCTGTGTTTTATAATTAACAAAAGAGACAAATGACTAGGAAGCTTAACAAAGAAAAATAAAAAGATAAAACCAAAAATTTACCAAATAAGATAACAAGGGAGAAACAACTATTAAAATACAAGAAATGAAGAGGAAGAGAGAGGTGGCTTGAAGGGGTATGGAAGGGGGATTAGTAAAATCTCTACGCAAATATACTTGGACACCTAGATAAAAAAATATGATTTGCTAGGAAAATAGAAATATAAAAATTGACTCTATTAGAGATATAAAGAATAAAATGCTCATTGTCCATATAGAAAAATCTATTAAGTAAATATTACCTCTCAAAAAAAATGTGTGTGTGTAATATGATAAATGAGCAAAGAATATGAACAGATAATTCACAAAAACATATTAAAATGGTCACTAAACATAAGGAAATAATTTTTTTTTACTTTACCCATAAAAGAAATAGATTAAACCACACTGACATAACATTTCAGCTCTCAAATTGCAAAAATACAAAAATAGTACATTCTGCTACAGTTTTTATGGAGGGGTGTTTGGCAATATGTACCAAAACTACATGTGCATTTATTCTTTAATCCAAACATCCTTCTAGGATTCATCTTCAAATCACTTCTAGAAATTTCATGCTGTTCTTCCAACTATAAGACGATTCATATGCACAACATTATTTATTAAAATATTATTTGTAATTGCAAACTGTTGAATAAAACTCTGTAGCTCACACACAAAAAGGTGGTTGAGTAAAATGTGGTGCATCAACTCAACCCAGATACAGCCTGAGAAAAGCCTAAAGCTTTTAAGCACTATACAGTGCTGTTTTTTTTTTTTGTTGTTGTTTGTTTTGTTTTTTTTTTTCGTTTGTTTTTTTTATCTTGATTGAACTTGTTTGACACTTTGGACTAAAAATGCATTCGCTCTATTTTAGTTGAAAAGAAAACATTTCTTTAAGCCTTGAGATAGATTGTGGGAAAGTGTTGATTTTTCTCTATGTGACTTTTAAGAGTTGTAGTTCAATGGTAGTCAGGCATAAAATATCTCCTTATAACTTCATAAAATCACAGTTGACTCAATTCTGTTGACTTCCATTGCTACTATGTTAAAAATATGGTCTATAATTATTTTTAAAAGGTTCCCAGAAATAGATAAAATCCTAAAGAGTACTAGACTGTGTGGAGGTATAAGAAAGACTTCTAGAATGCTGGGTGGATAGCTGTATACATATTGAAAAATTAAATTGGCTATAGACCCTTGAGTTTATGCAATATATTGTATACAAATTATGCCACAATTTTAAAACAATAAACAGATGTAGAAAAGAAGGAAGGGAAGGAGGGGAAAAAGAAGTTAAGAACAAAAAGACAAAATAGATTACCGTGATTTGTCTTGGAAACTCAGGTTTGGGAAGAAAATCAGTCTTCAGTTTGGGGCATATTCAAAGTGGAGGTATGGAGTAGCAGCTGCATTTCAGAAATAAAAATTGGGAAACCATCACTGGACAGATGATACTTAAAATCACTATACTACATTAGATTCTTAGAGAGTGAGTGAAGGGACATGATGAGTCCCAGAATATGCTGAAGCTTGTGAATATAAAATGCAAAGATTGAACCAAAATGTCCAAAGTTACTGTCTAACTCCCCTTTATAATGTTTTTCTATCAAAGAGATGAATCGTTAAATTCTACAGCCCAGCACAATTATCTGAAAGAGGAAAGTAATGATTTAATCTGTGAGGAGATAGTCACAAATCATCTACTTGCTTGGGGAACACTGACAACCTTTTCAAGTCATCATGGAGTAACTCGGTTAACCTGAAAAATGAGGAAGGTGAGCAATGTACAGGGACTGGCATATGGCAAATGGAAGAGCCAAAGAATCTCTTGAAAATTTGATATTAATCTGTGGAAAATATCTAAAATTTATTTATTTATTTATTTTTAATTAATTTATTTATTTTTTGGTTACAGATGTTTCTCCTTTTTTACCCCATTGGCACCCCCCTCCCCACCCCACCCCCCCCCCGCCCCTTCCCCGGCTTTGTTGTCCATGTCTATTGGCTATGTATACATGCATATAAGTTCTGTGGTTTATCTCTTCCCACCCACCCCCACCCCCTCTTCTGAAGGATGTCAGTCTGTGCCCTACTTCCATGTTTCTGGGTCTACCGTATTCCTCAGACTGTTATGTTCATTATATTCTGTATATAAGTGAGATCATGTGGTATTTGTCTTTTTCTGCTTGGCTTATTTCACTTAGGATAATACTTTCCAGGTCCCTCCATGTTGTCTCAAAGGATAAGAGATCTTTCTTTATTACAGCTGCATAGTACTCCAAAGTGTATATGTACCACTGCTTTTTCATCCATTCGTCTACTGATGGACACTTGGGCTGTTTCCAGATCTTAGCTATTATAAATAGTGCTGCTATGAACATGGGGATACATATATTCTTCCTGATTGGTGTTTCAGGCTTCTTATGGTATATTCCTAGAAGTGGGATCACTGGGTCAAGTGGAAGTTCAATTTTTAATTTTTTGAGGTAACACCATATTGTTTTCCATAGTGGCTGCACCGGTCTGAATTCCCCCCAGCAGTGTATTAGAGTCCCCTTTTCTCCAGGAAATATCTAAAATTTTAAATATTATTCTTTCACTTGTTAGCATTCTTGTACCACGACTTCATATATAAAACAGAGCCATACGTTAACCTACACTTTTCAAAAAATTTTGCTGACCTAGATTTGTTCTTTTTGTAACAATGTATACATATAAATGAAGACTGATCCTATTTTATAAAACTACATGTGTGTGTGTCCATAGTTCATCTACAGGTTCAGCAGAACTTTACTAAATTCTTATTAAAACATGGACACTATTCACAAATATAATGGATACTTGAAAGAGGTTGAAAAAATGCTGGTTAGAGGGGAAAAAAAAGGTCAATCTACAGTTCTCTGTACTGGATTTATTCAGCATCAGATTCGGACCTTGGTTAGATGCTATTTACTCATTGCTTCTGCTAACT